GAGGGGCGCATTTTTGAGAGTGCTCGATTTTTTTTTGGACCTCACCGACTCCGCACGATTTTTTTTTATCGAATCTTGCCGCGTGCACGATATTTTTTTAAATTTTTACTATAGCGTTAATACAATAATAACCACGCATGGTTATATTCCGGTTGAAGAATGTATTTGAATATACAGCATATAACCACAAAATAGGAAAGTATAGCAGAAGTGTAACCCACGAAAATTTTAACTCGCTCACGCCATCCTGGCTAGTACAGCCGGAAGTTTTTATCAGGTTTTGATAGGTACAAAGTGCCGGTTGTACTAGCCAGGATGGCGTGATTGATGATCGGACGAATCGCTTGTAAAAACGCGGACAAATACTTGCTTGAGTGAGACTTCTGGTATACCTTCCTATTCTATGATATAACTATCACAGCCCATTTTATACCTGGCCAATTTTATACTTGGCCCATTTTATACGGGGCTATGGTCTACGAAATGTAGACCATAGTCCCAATCAAAATTGGATCAAGTGTATTAAAGTGTGTAACCCATTTTGCATTGGCGTAATGGCATCTATATACAAATTCTCACGGTTCCCAATCGTATCAGTGTTCCCAATACGTATTATAAACTGCGATTTTTATTCAGAATCAGAGAGCGATATTAATGAGCCGGGTGGGAAAGGGTATTTTTGTGACCCGTGAATGCAGTGGCGTAGCCAGACTATAATTTTTGGGAGGGCATATATCGAACGCCGAAGGCGTAAGCCTTTTTAGGGGGTCCGGGGGCATTCTCCCCCGGGAAAATTTTGAAATCTGGAGTCCCTCAATGGCGATTTCCCGTGTTTCTGGGGAGAGATTTTGCATAATTCTGAAGATTATTTACTGCAGGAAAGACCTGATTTTTAATGATTTCTCAATAATGTGGATCCTTAATTTGACTCAACGAAGCTTACTTGGTCGCGTGTGAATAGTTAAATCGAAGTTTTAAAACGCATTTTAACCAATAACCACCATAGGCATTATTTTCTGTAGTTAGATTTAGGAAAGATTAGAACTTTTATAGACAATTTGGTGAACAGATGAGATTGGTAGTCACATGGGTAGTCATCGTCCCCCCCCCCTAATTTCTACCCGGATTTCATCTTTTTACAAGGGCAGTCCTTCAGCCTATTGGGGAGGGGGGGGGGGCTGAGCCCCCCCTTGTCTACGCCACTGCATGAATGGTCAATATTTGATCGTGTGAAATGCTTGATTTTACTGTCATGATCTGTGATTTGTTCTACAGCCGTGAGGCGTGATTGTCGATCAAAAAATGCTCCGTGAAATGGGAATTAAGGATGTCTGTTTCGTGAACTGTGATTTTGATTTGTTTATTCCGATCTATTTTATATTCGCGATAATAATTTATATGATCGATCTCACTCGATTGCACAAGAGTAGAAACGTGAAACGGTATTTTTTTGTTGTGAAACGTGAATCATACCCCCCCCCCCTTGCCACCCTCATTTAATAATCGATGTCGAATTTACAGAAGTGTGGGACTTTCAGTGTTAAGTTTGGGGTTTTTAGGGATACCATTAAGGTAATTTGTGGATAATTGAATTATTGAAGTCAAAGTTGTCAGAACTGGTTTGTATCGGTAATCGGTTTGTATTTTGCATGTATACTTCCGGTATTGTTAACCAAGGCAGAACCGAAACACTCAACAGAAAAAAAACTAAGGGAAACTGAATTTTTCTTTCAATATAGAGTATTGCTAATTTAGAATTTTTTTGTGCTCGATATTTTTTTTGCTGGTGTTAGTGATGTTCGATTTTTTTTTCTTCCATTCGAGACATGCTCGATATTTTTTTTCGGATTTGCGCCCCCCCCCCCCTGAAAAATCAAATGGTCCGTCCCTAAATTTAATCAAGTAGTTGGTGAATAATAGTATTTTAAGTGTTGCGATTGGAGAGTCAAAAATTTGAGATGCAATAACACATCGGTACTTGATGAAAATAACTTATTTTGTCAACAAAACGAGGAAATTGAAGCATTTTGGCAATAGCTTGTAAAAACTAAGTAATAAAGGCTTCCAATACAGTATTTTAAATTCACTTGCTGACTTCAAATGCGTTTATATTCCCAGCTGAAGCGTGTTTTAGCTTGCCGTCAACTTGCTAATTTATGTTTACATTGCGCCCGATTCGATGGCGTTAGTTCGGACAATGCATGGACATAAGATTGTTTTGATGATTTCTGGAAATAATTTAGGATTTTGAAATAAATAAAACAACCTAATCTCTTTTAGAATGTTTTTAACAAGTTTTTACTAGTTTTTCTGATGTGGCAACAAGAACATTAAAGTTTGAAAAAGAAAATTTAAACATTGTAACCGACTACGGAATATCATAGTGAATTTGTATAATTAAGCGGCATCTAAAAATTATAGGTTTTACTAAATTTTCTCCTGTGCAGTTATTACTTGCACTAAAGACACGGATGACCATTTGTTAAATATAGCAGGCCGATAGATAGTTATTAAGTACAAAAGATGGACTCCGTTTTTTTTAATACACCCTGTATGTATGTGTGTATATATATATATATATATATATATATATATATATATATATATATATATATATATATATATATATATATATATATATATATATATATATATATATATATATATATATATATATATATATATATATATATATATATACAGGGTGTATCAAAAAAAGCGCAATCCTCGACTGAAATGTAAATTGCTAAACAAATAATAGACGAAAACGTTAAAGTTTACATTCATTTTAAAGCGTAGCCATTCAGCTTTCTAACAGTGGGTTGTTTCTTAAATTTGACTCATTGGTTCGCGGGTAATAATACTTGACGTTATTGCGATTGGAGATTAAAAAAATTGAGATGGAATAACAAATCGCTCTCATGAAAATAACTGATTTTTTCATTAAAACAAACAAATGTTGCATTTTACTAAATGGATTGTAACAATAAGTATAATTACGGCTTTTCTTCCACTATTTTTAACTCAGTTTTAAACTTCAAATGCGATATAATTTTGGCTTGGACCATCTAAGCTGACTGACATCAACTTGCTATAATTTCTGTTTACATTACATGGCAATTCGATGACACTCTGGCTCAGACACCAGAATGTTTTGACGATTTTTAGCATTCGTTTAGGATTTTCAAACAACCTAGCTGGTCTCTTTTAACATACTTTTAATTTGTTCTTACGTGGTTTTCCAGATGTAGTGACGACAACATTAAAGTTTAAAGAAGAAAATTCTAACATTTAAACCGACTAAACAATAACATAGTAAACTTGCATAATTAAACAGCAACTAAAAATGATAGGTTTTACTAAAATCTTTTCCTGTGCAATTATTACTAGCATTGGAGACAAGGATAATAGTTTGTTTGAAAGAGAAAAGAACAAGCTTTGAAGTAAGCCTAAAAGCGTTTAACTAGAAATAGTATTTCGAAAGTTATTAAGCACAAAAGATGAATTGCGTTTATTTTGATACACCCTGTATATATATATTAAAATGCTCATTAATAATTCATAAACCTTGTGGCAAATCATGTCAGCCATAGTATGTCACGTGAAGTGAAATGTGGCAAATATAATTCTTCATCCTAATAAGCATGATTATATAATGGTTCATCCTAATTAGTATTCTTTTGTAGTTATATTTTAAGCTATTCAAAACACTCGTTGTCGTGTTTTAAACAGTACATATATATATATATATATATATATATATATATATATATATATATATATATATATATATATATATATATATATATATATATATATATATATATATATATATATATATATATATATACTATATATATATATATATATATATATATATATATATATATATATATATATATATATATATATATATATATATATATATATATATATATATATATTAGGCAGAACTGCCGAAACGTTTTTAACTTTTAAGCTTTTATTTTAATATGTTTTAGTTTTTTTAATAAATTGATGGTCGAAGTTGCATAGTCTCTGATTTTTAAATTGATTTTTATATATACGACAGTACTTGCTGTGAATCCTATTTGGATTCTTCACTCTCGAGGAGACTTCGTTTGGCATTGCCAAACCTAATATCAAATATATATATATATATATATATATATATATATATATATATATATATATATATATATATATATATATATATATATATATATATATATATATTCTGTTTGTCTGTTTTGATATGTCTGCATGTGACGCACTTAGTTTATTTAGGTTTATTTATAGGATTTCAGAAACAAAATATTCATTTCGGATCGGATTGATCAAGTTGTTTCGTAGTCGGATCGGATCGGACTTCGATATCCGAAATAAAATTAATTATCCACGCATTATGGCAAAAATTAATTATTATCCATGCATTTATCAAAGCATTATTGCGGTTGTCGCTGCATTATTCGTTTGATACTTCAATTACAATTAGACATCACTTTGTCAGCTCTTTGACATGTATTTCTTGCTTTTATATTTATTTGGTTAATCATTTATTTGGTCATGCTTAGCGGGCATTGCTATTACGCAAGTGGTCAATTGTTTCCCCTCACATAGTTATAACCCTTGGCAACCAGCTAATTTTTTTAATTATTCAAGCATTATTCGCGAATGCAGCAATAGTCCATCACATTTGCCAATATACACACCGCACATGACTTCTACATTCTCATGTCTTTTAGATATATATACAATGTTTTTCAGAGTGTTGTTTTAGATTCATTCAAATTCGATGAAAAATTGAGGGTGGACAATGTGCAGTTCAGTGCTAAATCCACGAATATATGATTTATATGAAGTTAGCAAGCTAACGAAAACATAACGTCAAATGTGTTACCTTTATACCATTTAAAATATATTGCCTTACCGCAAGATATTACCCGCATAAAAATATTACTTTATTACAAGAAAAATTACCTTGATATAAGAAATATTACCTTGATAAACTTTTTGGCCTTTTTCCCCCAAAGTCTTGCAGCAGAAGAAAGCAGTTTTGCTTTTGCCTTATCTATTCCTGCATTTATGAGGTCTTTTTCAATACTTTTTTTATCTTTTCTGTCTCTCATGTCGTAACCTCGGCCTATGGTTAAACCAGAACTTTTAGTCGGTACATGAAGCTTTCGGCTGTGCCATCTTCCTCCTTCTGTTCCTTCTTTGTCGAACGTGAACTGCCCTTTAGCCACTGAAACGTATGTGTAGGGTAACATATATGTATTAAGCATTCAATTTATTTGTGGATTTGCCAGCCTGGTTGTTATGCAGTTGGTCTTAAAACTGTCCCATCTTATCACTATCCTTGTGTAATCTCTTAGCGGGTAGAACACTCTAGCCAACCCCCCCCCCTCCCTGTATATGGTATAGCGGAAATTGTTAGTTGAGCCCAAAACCTAATAGCATAATATGCCAAAATCTTCGCCCTGCATCCAGTTTTCTGTCTAAAGAGGAAATGAAGTAAATTACTTTTGCTTCATCCCCAAGATCTTAAAAGTAATAACGGCTGTTTCATTTACATATATTCACAAATCTATAAATAACTCGGTGTGTAAACGGCATTCTTTGTTGCTTGGATAATCGTGGAAATGTAGCAAATTTTACTTCAGTTCCTATTTTAACATTTAGACAGATCACTACATGCTAGCGCTGGAATGATGTGCATATACGGTGAAGTCTTAGGTCCATGTTCTCCAGATAGAAATTACATATAGTATTCTGCCATTGTAAACAGTACGTACCTTTGAAGCAGTCGTCTTTTTTTACTGGTTTCTTTTTAGGTGGTTCTGCGCATTTACATATCTTGGTTGTTGATGGTGTGCTTCCATTTGTTGGCTGTGGACTTGAGCGTGGACTTGTGTTGGTAGATGGTAGACTTACATTTGTTGGTTTTGGACTTTCGTTTATTGCAGGTGTGTTTGCGTCAGTTGGTGATGTGTTTGCGTCCATTGGTCGTGTGCTTGCCTCGGTTGGTGATGGGCTTGCGTTGGTTGGTCGTGTGCTTGCCTCGGTTGGTGATGGGCTTGCGTTGGTTGGTCGTGTGCTTGTACCCGTTGGCGACGAGCTTTTCTGCATTGGTGATGCGCTTGCGTCCGTTGCTGGTGTGCTTGTGCTGGTTGGTGATCGGCTTGTGTCGGTTAGTGATGGTGTTGTGTCGGTTGATGGTAGACTTGCGTCTGTTGGTGATGGGTTAATATCGGTTGGTGATGGGCTTGCGTTGGCTGACTGCGGAATAACTATGCTTGATTGTGAGCTTAGTGTAGTTGGTTGCAATTGATGGCTTACTTTGGTTGGTTTAGGGATTGCATCAGTCGTTTGTGGGCTTGTAATTGTGGATCTGAAATACAGAGATGGGAGACGAAATGTCCTGATTTACTTTATATTACGATTGAGAAAGATGTCAAAAAAATTATTTGTCAAAGAAATCGCAGAGAAATATAGAAATTAGTTTAAAAACTAGAATTGAAAGTATAAGCATACGAATGAACACAAACAATTGAGCAATCTAATGTTACTATATAGCGCCCCGGGAGAGTTACAGAGCATGTGTTTAACTCAGTAACTATTTAAGGCCGTAACCTAACTATATTTAAGGCCATAACCGTAGGATCTCTTTCTGACGAAAAAAATGCTCTAGATCTGTCGTTTATAGACACTAAAATACCGAAAACTGCGTCGCACCAAAAGTCTGCAGATTATTGCTGCAGCTGTTAAATAAAGGCGATACAAATGAACGGACGGATATAAATCATCGAGAGTTTGATCATCTCGCTCTATATCACTAACTGTTAAGAAGGATCCTGTCCTGATCCTGAGTCTAGTAACTGGAGTGCCGAAACGTTGGGCTTGATTACAATTCGACTGGGCTTTGTAATAATTTATTTAAACCAGAGTAGCGAGCGAAACATGATATAGAAACACGTTTTTGATCATAAAAATTTTCACTTGCATGTGCGTGTTTTTGGTTTTAATTGTTTAAGGTTAGGATTCTTATCTCAATAATACAGCATGCCGATATATATTAACCTATATAGCTTCTGTTTGCTAAAACGCCTTGTCAAATATATTTTACCGACCTTAAATGAGTTGTTTGTGTCCCGCTACTTGACACTCTTGGTGTGCTAAAAGATGCATCAACTTCCAAACATCCTACAATAAACGAGAGTCCACATAGCACAGCTATGACCATGACGATCGAATGCACATTAGTCTTCATCTTCTTGCTCGAGGTGGAGATCTGGCATGGAGTTCTCTAAAAGCTAATGCTTTTATAGTTATCGCTCTGCAATCTACATGTTGCTAAATAGTCAATTCTAGCATAATTTGTGCTAAAACGGTCGTTATTTTCACTACAGGATATTTTCCTGTTTCGAAAGATAATAGACTTAACAAGGTCTGTGGGGGAAATGGTTGAACTAGTATTAATTAAATAAGCCATATTTTCTCGGGTTTGTTACATTAACATAGCAGAAATAACCAGAATAAATGGTAGAATGCTTTCACAATTGTCATGATTGCCAGTCTGGGAAGGAATCTTTGTAAGAACTCGCTTATTATATTCCTGTACATTGACAGAATTTCCTGCATGATTTTGAAACAGGAATTGTAGGGGTGGATATTGAGTACCAAAGTATGTCGTCTTCGCCATGGTAATATAGCTCAATATTTTGATAGACTTACATGTATTTTATTATTTGCAAAAAGGAAAAAGAATGGCTATTGCTCCATTTGAAACAGGAATTGCGAGGGTGGATTTGGAGTCCAGAAGAATGACGTCAGTTGCCATGGTAATGCCGCTCAATATTTTGATGGACGACACTTATTTTATAATTTTTAAAAAGCCTTGCAATTGTAAACAAAAAGACTTGCTGAAAAATTTCGATGTATGCTGAAAATTTTCATAAAACTGCCGAAATATTTCAATATTTACAAGTATAAGCTATCAATATATCCGGCCGCCATTTTATTTATCAGCATAATCAATAATATGATACCCCTTTGCGTGTCACTGTATATATAGATATTATATAAGATACCTTACTTTCCCTCCACTGCACGATTAAATTAAAAGCTGGTATTGCCTATTGTGTGAAGGTGGATATGTTGATAAAATTCAGTTAGTAAAGTTGCTCAATATTTTGATAAGATGACATTTGTTTTATAATTTGTTTATAAAAACTAAATTTTTGGCCTTTGAAAAAAAAACTGCTTTTGAAACAGTATTTGTGAAGGTGGAAATAGAGTCGCAAAATAGGACGTCGTTGTTATGGTAATGTAACTAAATATTTTTGATAGACTTACAAGAACATATTTGATAGACTTATATTTTGATTAGACTTATTTTGATAGACTTATTTTCATAGACTTGCATTTTGATAGACTAATATTTTCATATCAATATTGTGATAGCCTAGCTGTACATATATCTTTCCTAGCTGTACATATATTATTTTTATGAACTGGTTAATTTGTACTGTAATAATAATTTAAAAAAGATCTATAGTCTGGGGGCCTTAAACAAAAACCTTATAGGTTTGTAGTAGGCCTCTAGCCCTAATATATATATATATATATATATATATATATATATATATATATATATATATATATATATATATATATATATATATATATATATATATATATATATATATATATATATATATATATATATATATATATATATATATATACATATATATATAGAATTACGTTTCGTTGTTTAATACAAAAACATTTGGCAGAGTGCTCAATAGATATCCAGAGCATAATTAAATAAGTGCAACGACTCAACAAATTCCACTAGGCATCTTTATTACTATTAGTTTCGTACCACAAGATGTGGCACTCATCAGATAAATTAGCCTTATATATATATATATATATATATATATATATATATATATATATATATATATATATATATATATATATATATATATATATATATATATATATATATATATATATATATATATATATATTTATATATATACTGAAGACTATTTTCAAAAAAATAGTCGATCAGTTGACGTAAGGTAGAAGAGCGCTCAATACCATAATAAGTAGAGCGGAATTAATTCAGTCAAGGTTTGAATGTTTGCGTCGCTACTCTGAGTTTCACACTTTACGCGATCATCAGGCAACTGACAGATATTATTCAATATTCATAATATTGATTTGGAAAACAAGTTTAGTTGCCTGATAATCGCGTAAAGCGTGAAACTCAGAGTAGCGACGCAAACATTCAAACCTTGACTGAATTAATTATATATATATATATATATATATATATATATATATATATATATATATATATATATATATATATATATATATATATATATATATATATATACTTAGTTTCTGACGAAGGCTGTTACATGCAGTCGAAAATTTAAATTTTTGAATTATATATTCTAATTTCTTTTGGTCGTGGCTTTTATTTTGTATATAATATATATATATATATATATATATATATATATATATATATATATATATATATATATATATATATATATATATATATATATGTAACGGTTCCTTGTGGATGGAATTTCAACAGACATAAAATGTTGTTATATTTAATATCTAGACGTTTCGCCGATCAAGGCTTCTTCAGATATATATATATATATATATATATATATATATATATATATATATATATATATATATATATATATATATATATATATATGTATATATATATATACAAAATAAAAGCCACGACCAAAAGAAATTAGAATATATAATTCAAAAATTTAAATTTTCGACTGCATGTAACAGCCTTCGTCAGAAACTATTATATATATATATATATATATATATATATATATATATATATATATATATATATATATATATATATATATATATATATATATATATATATATACTGTAGACTTTGACCCTTTGTAGTGTTCAGTGTGTGAAAATTATTATCGAGACATTTAAATACTTTGTAACTTCTTAAATCTGTTTATGATTATTGAAAAATGCACGTAACAGTCGCTTACATATTTTTGTCACATCCGATGTTTTGTATGTGATTAAATGTGTTTATAATCTTTCAACTGTGTCTAATTTACTTAAACTTTCTTTCAGTAAATTCAGAATTGACAATAGCAATTAAGGTGGAGTAATTGCTACAACTTGAAACAAAATTTATGCATACTGATTTATGCGCATGTTAATTGCAATGTTTACACATACATTACAAATCACGAGACATTTAATTTTGTTACAAGTTGCATGCAGCAATTCTGTTCCTCGTTATTACTCCAGCTTTAGCAACAATGCAGGCTACCCACATGTAAGCAGCGCGTACTTATTTTTACAAGATGGAAGCACTACAAGCACATGAACGATTTCTCATATTCAACGAAGATTCAAAGCATTTACACTGTGATCGATCAAAGTTGTCTGCATAATGAGTTCAGGAAATTATAGAAGGTGGATGTCTTATTTGCCAATTTTGTAACGGTAAGAAATTTAGTTAGGAGGCTATCACACAGGGCCAGTGAAGTACTTACCATACCCGGTGTATCAATTAGCCTTGGGTGTTCTTTCAGAATAGCACCCACTGATAAATCAGAGTGTTCCCGTATCCACGACGCTCTTTTTACCGACGTTTTGCTCATAAACTCTTTGACTTTTGTGAGTGGCTCGACATGGTGCTTGAGCCACTCCACCATCCCCTCGTAGTCCTCTTCACTTATGCTGCTTTCTGTAAATTTTAATGACAGAAATTTAATTTGAGTTTACTATTATATAAGTACATGAAGTTGAAGTCAGAATGGATATTTT